TTCCTGCTCCACCCTCCAAGATCAAGGTCATTGCCATCCCATGTTGGCACCATCTCCTGTCCCCCTTTCCAGAGACCCTTGGCCCTAGGGTTCCACCACGTGACCAACAAGCTCTATACCAGTGGTTCTCAACCTTCCTAATGCCGCGACCCTTTAATACAGTTCCTCATGTTGTGGTGACGCCCTATTTCATTGTTACACATTGAACATAACTAAAGCATAGTGATTCATCACAAAAACAATATGTAATTATATATGTGTTTTCCAATGGTCTTAGGCGACCCCTATGAAAGGGTCGTTCGACCCCCAAAGGGGTCGCGACCCACAGGTTGAGAACTGCTGTCTTAGAGCCTTGAGGTGATGGGCAGCGAAATCTAATCATCTCATTCTCGTCAGGATGTTAACAGCTAACAGCATCTCACTGTTAGCCCTCCAAGGAACCCTTTGCCTATAAAACCAATATTACACAGCTCCCTAGCCTGTCCCATTACTAGCTCAGACCTTCCTAACACAACCTTGCATTTTTCCTCCCACTAAATCCAGACGCGCCCCCCCCCGCCCCCGAATCCTTCTTAATAATGATCCACACAAGCAGCCTTTGCCGTGATCTCGGGTGGAATATGTGACTAAAGCAATTTCTGAGTTACCATTCATTTCAGATTTGGCTAAACACGAATCCTAATTTCTGGTTTGAAAATTATGATATTGCTCTATTTATATGGGAGTTGCAGGAGCCAACTGGAGAGAGACTGTAGGATGGACAGTAGGGAGACTTGCTTCATCTTTCAACTCATACCACATGACCCAGGGCCTACCCGTGGGGCCAGCCTCAGGGACTCTCCCAGAATATGACATAAGTGGGTTTTCCCTAATTTCCTCAAAAGCCACTTTCCAACAGGTATCCAGGCTAGAGCCCTCAAGTGAGCAGAGCTGCATGTGTGTCGGTGTGTGTTTGAGAGAAGAAACTCACAGGATTTGCTCAGAGAAGTGGAAAGGGGGAGAAGGAGAAGAGAAACAAAAGAAAATTGAAGTCCTGGCTGATCTGGCTCAGTGGATAGAGTGTTGGCCTTCAGACTGAAGGGTCCCAGGTTCAATTCTGGTCAAGGGCACATGCCTGGGCTGCGGGCTTGATCCCCAGCAGGGGGCATGCAGGAGGCAGCGCGTCCATGATTCTCTCTCATCATTGATGTTTCTCTCTCTCTCTCCCTCTCCTTCCTCTTTGAAATCAATAAAAATCTATTTTTAAAAAAGAAAAAGAAAATTGAAGGCAGGATGGATCTGACTGATGCAGGAACCTCAGAACTTTGACTGTCAGTCCTCCTTATGAATAAAGTCAACTTTGGACAAAAAAGCCCCAGTTGCCACCATCAGAGACTGAGCCAGGGAGCCCGTGGTTCCTCTTCTGCAGGGCCACGTGCACTCTCCTGAGCTGCAGGCATGCACTGCAGCCAGGGGCTACCAAGGAACCAGGACCAGGAATTAGCAAGAGGGTGAAGCAACACAATGTGTGTGTGTGTCCCTGTCTGTGTGTGTGTCCCTGTGTGTGTGTGTCCCTGTGTGTGTGTCCCTATGTGTGTGTGTGTGTGTGTGTGGCACTTAGGCTAACAAAACCGTGACTTTTACCCTCTAAAAGCTGCATTGTTCAGATGGGAGTGTTTCACGACCTACATTCCTACTCCACAAACAGAAACTCAGCCAACAACCCCTCCCAGGTGCTTGTTCAAAAAGCCACCACAAAGAAGGCTTCCTCTGCTATTAAGCCAGGCGTAGAGGCAACGACCCTCCAACTACCCTCGGCAGCACTCGGCTAATCAGGGGAAAACACAGACCCTCCACCGTGTCCCTTCCCATCCTTCAACTACCAGCTGCTTCCCACATTACTCCAAACACAAACCCCGCCTCTTCCTCAAGTGGGAAGGGACTTGATTGACATGGAGGCTTTGTTCCCACTACTAGATGGTGGTATAGAGTGTTCCGGAAGCTTTGTTTAAACAAGAATGGCTGACAATTTTACTTCCTTGATCTCAATTATTTGTTTAAATAGAATAAGGGAAATAAGCATATTAACCAAAATGCACATTAACAATTTAATCAGAATGAGGGTTTAGAGGTAAATACGAAACAAATAAAATTTACTTTTATTTAAATTTAATTAAAAAATACTTAAGGGGTGTTTACAGGCCCCAGGAAGGTATGTAAGTGTCAAGACAAGGCCCCTGCTCCATGGGAGGTGACTTCCTGATGGGAGAGAGAGGCCATATTCAACTGGTTCAGATACAAGGCAGGTTATGATAAAGCGTTCAAGTGACAATGGACATTTTTATATTGGAGCCACAGTTAGTTTTCAGACTATAAATATTTTCATCTCTCACAGGCTACCAGGTCAAGGACTAAACATTGCATTTGTTCTTTAAAAATAACACGGGTATAGCCCAGCCAGTGTGGCTCAATGCTTGAGCATTGACCTATGAACCAGGAGGTCACGGTTCCATTCCCACTCAGGGCACATGCTCAGGGTTGTGGATTCAATCCCCAGTGTGGAGTATGCAGGAAGCAGCTAATCATAATTCTCTCTCATCATGGATGTTTCTATCTCTCCCTTTCTGTAATCAATAGAAAACATTTTTAAATAATAATAAATAAAAATAACATGGCTATATTGATGGGGGAAAGAAAAACAGCTGACTGATGGCTGTAGCATTTTCATACTCATCCAACATGGAAGTTGAAGATGAAATGACTACGAAGGAAAAGGAAATTTAAGCAAGTGAAATGCCTTGCCCCTCTCACACAGGACATCCACACACACCCTCTGGCTGAACAGTCTTCTGGAAAGTACAGCCCCTTCACAGATGCATTGTGACCACGAGATCATGACACTTTGCTCCCTGTGACCCTTGGGAAGTAGTCATGGTGATTCCTTTGCTGCCCATGGATGGGCATTTTAGGTGCCAACCAGAGAAAGATTATGACCTGGATGTCACTCCTCCCCCCCCCCCCCACACACACACAGCCCACTTCCAATCATGGAATCGTAGAGAGTTGAAATCAACTAAACTTTGACTCATAGGATTTGTTTAGGGTTAAAACCACTGAGACTTTATGACCTTTAGCATTTAAATTTTTTTTTAATTTGAGAGGTTTTGTGATCTAATAAACAGTTTTTAGAACATAATCAATATAGCTATTAGTTTATCATTGTTTCTTTCAACTGTCTTTATAGATCAGTGGTTCTCAACCTTCCTAATGCCACAACCCTTTAATATACAGTTCCTCCTGTTGTGGTGACCCCCAACCATAAAATTATTTTCGTTGCTAAGTCATAACTGTAATTTTGCTACTGTTATGAATCGTCATGTAAATATCTGATATGCAGGATGTATTTTCATGGTTACAAATTGAACATAATTCAAGCATAGCGATTAATCACAAAAACAATATGTAATTACATATGTGTTTTCTGATGGTCTTAGGCGACCCCTGTGAAAAGGTCGTTCGACCCCCAAAGGGGTCGCGACCCCCAGGTTGAGAACCGCTGGTGTAGACTGTGGTGAAGAAATGTGCCCATCACTCTCAGTCCCACCCTGTACAGAAGGCCCCTGCTAAGTGCCCGGCTGTGGTAGATCAGCAGGCATCCCCACCGGCCTCAGCCAGTCTATTCTGCTCCTCATCTGGGGGCAGAAGCATGTGTTGAACAAGGTCACGATCACCAAACACCTTGGTTTCCCAGGTGTAGCGCTGAAAGCCCCATGTCTCAGGAAACCTTTAGTCACAGCAAATAGGATGGCTGACAACCTCCCCCTTCCTGGGTCTGTCTCCTCCCAGGGCCCACTTACCCCCCCCACCCCAGGGCGTCCCCTACCAGCAGGGCCTGCCAATGCCCTGACCTGCTC